GGTCGGGGGGGGGGGGAAGCGATGAGGGGGCGGTGGAGGAAGGGGGGGGGAGGATTACATGCAAACGGCGCAAGCAGTCGGCTGCTGACACACATTTCCCCCCCTCCTCCTCCGCCTCCTCCTTGCCATCGCGCCTGAACCGAAACGTCAGCGACCCAACAGCTCCACCTTGCCTGCCCTGCCCACTCTCAGCCGCCGTACAAAGGCAGTCGAATGCAAACATGTCCATTCCACGTGCCTACACACATGTCGCGTGAAGGCACACATACAGACACACATACATACAGACACACAGACACAGACATGTATACTGCGAGACGCCGTCCTTACCGAGGACCTCCCAGAGCAGCCACAACAGCGACAGGCCCGCGTACGACACCGCCGCCGCCGCCGCCAGGTGCAGCGGCGGGTAGCGTGCCGAGTGCACTCCCAGCCGTACAGTCCCCATGCCCCAGAACACACAGCTCAGCAGCACGTAGACCGCCCCCATGGACTGCCTTGTAAGCCACAATCCCTCCACCTGCCACTGGGCCCCAGCCGCCGCCGCGGACGTCGCCGCCGCTACTGGCGCGCCGGACGCCGATAGCAACGTACGACGGTCATCCCCCGACGCCAGGTCGAAAGAATTACCGGCGGCGCTGCTGACGCTGCCAAGCAGCTGACGTGCATGCCTGGCGCCGTTGGCGGCTGCCGCCGCTGCCGTACTGCCGTACACGTTATCCAGCGCCACCATGGCGCCGCCCATGGCGCCGCAGCAGCATGCAATCCACACCGTCATGCTCACTAGGCCCCCGCTGAGCCAAACAAGCAGCGGCGTGAGGAGGCTGGTGGCCTGAGTGAGGAAGGCGGACCGCGTGGCGGAAATGCGCTGCATACCCCAGGCACCTAGCGCCGCCGCCGTGACGTTGTAGATCCCCAGTTCAAGTCCTGCCGCCGGCAGGCTGTGCGCCGGCACCGTCAGCAACCGCAGCCGCCAGCGGCCCGCTGCACCTCCCCCCCCCGACCGCGGGCGGGAATCTAACCCGCCGCCGCCGCTGCCGCGGCCGCTAGCGCCTCCTCCTCCCCCTGACAACCAACCCAGATCGCCTGACACGGCGTACGACGGCCGTAGTGGCGGTGGCGGCGAACCGACTACACCATCCAGGGAGGGACCCCGCCGCGCGTGTACTTGCTCACACAGCCCAACTCCTCTACCGCCGCCATCGCCGCCATCGCCGCCATCTCGCCCGCTACGTCCCGCCTCCAACGCTGGCGCCTCGCTTAGCTGCCGGTGCGAAAGCCCCACCATACCCATCGCGGGCGCCGGCGCCACCGCCTTCCTCCCACCGCCCCCGGGGGATAGCGGGGCCCCGGTCGGCGACCCCCCATCTGACAGAGGCCCCCCCTTCGCGGCGCATTCTGGATCCCCCGCTTCCGCCGTACGGATGTAGCTGCTGCCTCTAGCGCTGTGGTAATAGCTGCCGTGGCTTGTCAGCAGCGGCAGCGCGCACTCCTGGGACCGAGCCCACATGTAGTGCTCCCGTTCCTCCCGTCCTAGCCCCCGGTAGTAGTCCAGCTCCTGAGCTGCCTCTCTCGCGGCCGCGCACGCCGCCGCCAGTGCGCCCCCTGCGGCGCCCGTGTTATGCATACCGCTGTGCAATAACGCCTCCGCCTCGGCTTCCTCCTCCTGAGCTATACCAGCCGCTGAGGACCTGCGCGAGGCGGCGGCGGCGGCGGCGGCTGCCGCTATGGCTTCAGGACTGGCTGAGCCGGCGGCAGCGGTGTTGCTGCTACTGTCGCCGTAGCTGGATGCGGCGGCGGCCTGGGTGCGGCGGCTGCCGCTGCTACTGCGGCTACTGGTCTCCATAAGCGTTCCGAGAAGCCCTACTCCTAGGAAGAGCGCCGTGATGACGGAGACGCAGGCAGTGAGTAGAGCGGCGCTGGGAGGTGTGGGTAGCAGGAAGAGGTATTTAGTGGTGGGCCCGCCGCTGGCCCACAGGATGGTTGTGGTCAGGAGGATGAGAGCGCCGACAAGCTGTGGCGGCGGGTTTTGTGTGGGAGGGGGATAGAGGTGGCGGGGGAAGGGGGGGAGGGTGTGTGTGTTCCGGGAGGGAAGGAGGGGTGCGTGTAAAATGGGTGCGAGGGTATGCGTGTGTGCTTTGTGTTGCGTTGTGTTGTGCACACGCGGCGGCTACGCGACCGGTTGAGGATGTTTTGAGGGGTGGAGCAATGGATGGATGGTCGCCCTTTCACAACGAGGGCAGGAAAGGGCATGTGAGCTGGAGGACATGTCCGAACTGACTGGCTTTGGCGCGTGGTGCGGTAACTCACGGTTGTCTTTATTTCGTTTCATACATGACCGATTTCCCCTGGATTCGGCAATTTCCTGACACCCCGGGGATGGTTTAATGTGCGAATGGCAAAAGGTTGCACACCTGCGAGCGCAAGCGCGTTCCCCGCCCTGGCAACAGCATAGATGCTGGCTCTCCAGCATGATGGTTAAGGGTACCTGTCTCAACTAAGGGTTGGTCTGAAAGTTTCTTAGACAAATGGGGTTTGAGCCCAGCCCGCAGTCTTGCAAAGAAGTCACGCATGGCTAAGCAAGGAAATACCACGCCCAAGATTTAAGTTTTAATTTGCAACAGCTTTTGCACATCCTGTTGTCTCAATTTATGCATTTTGCATCCGGAACTGGGGCCGTATTCGCCATTGATGTGCAGAGCTATGTAGCCCCTAACCTTTGGTTTTACATATACTATTTCGCTTAGCGCAGCTTGGTACGTAGTCGGAGCTGTGGTTTCTTTCGTTTGCGTGGGATCGGTGGATTACCTCAGAACCTGCCGTACGGCAATTGTGTGATGAAGCACAGCACAAAACACCCCGCAAGCACGTACATCTCATTAACCACAGTTTGTGTTGAACACTTTCCACTATCTCGCACGTTTCTGCCTCGTACCCACGAAAATGATGCTTCAGCGTGCTGGTCCCATTCGTGCGGCTAAGCCCACCCAGCAGGCTGCCCGCCGCGTTGTGCTTTGCCAGGCTCAGAAGTCAGAGGATGTGTCTCCCATGAAAGCCGTTGCTCTCCCTCTGGCGTCGATGGTGGCCGCAGCTCTTATTGCTGGTGCTGCCATGCCCGAGGACGCCCTTGCTGCGTCGTCTCGGTCAGGTGGCCGCGTTGGTGGCACCAGTGGGTTTGCTTCCCGGAAGGCGGCCGCGCCGTCTCGCAGCATCCAGACACAAGCTGCGTAAGTAGTATGGATCTTCCTGACTGTTCGAGAGTAGGCTTAGGAACTACGCTGTGAATCCGGGCACACCGCGGTCAGCAATACGTGCGTTAACAGCCTTTTCATAACTTCTTTCCAGGTTTGCGTTGTGCGACTTGAGCGTGCAGATATGCTTGCAATGTCTTGGCTTCTTCCAGCTCTCAGTGTTTCTGTCCCGTATGTTACCATACCTACAGGCCAACCGTAAACAATACGACTGTTGTGGTTGCACCTGCTGCTCCAGTCTTCAGCCCTTTCGGATTCTCGCCATTCGGTGGCTTCGGTATGGGCTTCGGGGTCCCCATCTTCCTGCCAGGCTCCTTCTTCAGCGGCCTCCTTGGCCTTATGGCTATCACCCTCCTGTTTAGCGTTGTTTTCAATGTCATTAGGGGTATCGCAGCTGCCGGTAGCAAGCAGGCCAAGAAGGATGATGACTCTTGGGGCGACCTCTGAGTAGCCGTGCCCTGTTGAGGCCTGACTGCTTGAGTGGATTATTTGGACGAGTGGAGGCGAGCTGAGAGGTTCTGTTGGCCGCGGTGTAGACATCTGGAAGGTGCTTCGTCGTCGGTCCCGTGTCATTGCCCCTGGTTATGATGGTCGTATAAAGAAGTTTTGATTGTTTGATACCCCCTAAAGTTTTTCCCCGCAGCCGCCTCTGTTTATGTCAGGATAATGTATGATGTGCTTCGTGTCAAGTGGTAGTGAGCTGGACTCGTGCAAAGGTTGTATGGGTTGTATCGAGGCGAAAGTGTATCTACTTAAAAATGCGAAGGTCCTGTTCGCACGTGGCGGTAGGGGTATTTATTTCATGTGAACGTCGCTGCATGCATAGTGGCATCAGGAGTCCTAATGAACTGTCCGTAATACCACAGTTGCGACTTGAGAGACGTGAGGTGAGGCCAAGAACCCTCGACTGCATAACCGCAGGTTTTGGCTGCAGAACTAGGGTACGCGATGAGTCGTTTATTCGCATCTTGTGCACCAACTGCCTGTTAAGTCGGAGCTACAAATGGGACGCTGCTGTAGCACAACTCTGCCCTGCAGTTGTACTGCAGGACGAAGTCCGAAATGCAGCAGCCCAGGAATGTTCAGAGTCTGCCCAAAAGTAGCAAATGCGGGTCCATCGCTGACATCGGGTGAATATCAACACCTGACTGTGAACAACCGTGAGTGGGGCTTGACACAAACCCTAAGTACTCTGCTCCGACAAGCCGCAGGCCCGCAAGCACTACATCGCCTAGCCAGGGCTCACACATACATACGGAACACATATCAACTCGCTGTGGAACTGCACCATCTATAGACAAATAAAACGAAAGCGGCAGGGTGTCGAGAATGCACACGACCGCATGACCATGTCCCAGTAACTGTCATATTCATCAGGGGTAAGATACTCAAATGCCTCGATTGGCTAATTAGAACAGGCTTTTAACCCCCGCGCTCAGTGTTGCATCTCCTAACGTGTTAAGGGCGTAACAGCTAGCTAGGTATATATTTATTGGCTAGAAATACATTGAAACGGTTTCCACACGGGGTCGGACCAGGTCATCCAAAGCAGTCACCTAAATATCGAAGTCCCCATGCTTCAACGGCTTCACAGCTTTACCACAGGTCACACACACCAATTCGCTCACTCGCTCCCGATGCTGTTACTGAATTTCAGAACACATCAAAATTCTGATGCACACACACCTCTCCACAAGATGTTCACAAGATGGGATGGATGCTGAATACTTTCGACCTTCCCTCGCAACACCTCATGACATGTTGAAGTCAGCGCCTCACTCCGACAGCTTGGTCTCTGTGAAGGTCTTGGCCAGCGTCCTGCACACAAACAGCACAGCAAACACGGCATGGGCTCACCACCACCACCCTTCAGGAGCTGAAATATGGGATCCATCCAGAGAAGTTCCCTACTTCCCTACCTACCTACCTACCTACCTACTTCCCTACCTACCTACCTACCTACCTACTTCCCTACCTAACCGCTTACCTGATTCCTTAGTAAACTCCACACATATCGCACCACAGGCACACCACGGGCAAGCATTCACCCACAGTTACACCTCACCCTTTTTGGCCCCAGTTCGAACACTCCCAGCAGCCCAACTCCCAGCAGCCGCAGTCCCCCGCCCCCACCCGGCCCGGCCCCTCCTCTGCCCGGGCCCCTCCCCATCCTGCCGCTTACCTCTTTAGCACGTCAGTATTGTCCGCCGCGATTCTGGACAGGTCCTCCGTCATCTCCTTAGCAATGTGCTCCCGCAGCCGCATGATCCGATCCGCCACCTCCCTGCATGCGAGGGCCATCACCGCACACAATACCAAACCCAGTGCACCACCACCCGGTGCACAACATGCAACAACAACCCACACAGCAACCACACAGCATTCAGCCAGCCAAGAGCCAGTGAAGCAGCATTAGTCGATCACTATGTTTGTCAGTGCCACTTAACAGCAACAAATTTTAGGAAGCGTACAGAGGACAGGTGACGGCCCTGTGAAGTGTCTCCCGTTTTTATTGCTGGGCACGCACACCACAGACCCAGCCGCTCGGGAGCTCGGGAGCGGCACCGGTCCCCCCACTCGTCTTTGCTTCTTGCATCATCATATCATTTCCCCCCTCTCCCCCCGACTCGCCTGGGGCTGACCTCCCTCTCGCCATGGAGGACAGCGGCTGCAGATGCCGCGCTAACGACTGAGGATCGGCGGGGGTCCTGACACCGGGGGGAAGGAAGTGGGATGGGACACGGGGCACCACCGCCGCGACATTATCAACATCACCATCAGCACCATCATATTCTTCATCATCATCACCATCATCATCATCATCAGCAGCAGCAGCGCCATTAGCACAGCAAACAACACTCGTTCATCATCATCATCATCATCATCCGTACCGCCGCCAGATGCAATAGTGCGCCTCCCAGCAGCCCGCTGCCTCTTCCCCCGTTGTCCGCTTTTACGGGGGGTACCTGGGCCGCCAAGAACCAGATTCCCAGGAGGCTGAAGGCTGAGCGCTGATGACCTTCCTCACCTGCACCTTGGTCCACGGTGTTGCAGCCAGCCGCACCAGCCACTCGTCTGCGTCCGCATTGCCGTCCATAACCAACGGGTTCTCTGCCCAATAATTGTGTAGGAAGAAGTGCAGCTCGCCATTGGTCTCCGACAAATAGTTCAGGGTAGTCTTGATGGCCTGCACGTCATCACAACACACGAGGAAATGAAGTGAAGTGATGTGAAGTGCAATACACCTTGATGGTGGCTTTCGGAGCTGACATAACCAGATATGCTCCTAGCATGTGCATGCGGAGTTCTTCGTTGGGGAGGAACTGCTTGCTTTCACTGAAACTTATCAGATCATATGATGGATTGATCTGTAATCATTTTCATCAGCTTTAAGCTCTAGACCTAAGAAAATTTAAAACAATCTAATCTGCGCCTAAAACCCTCATAGGCTCTGTATATCGTATCACATCATTCGCCTCCTGTCACGCCCCACCCCTGCGCGGCTACCCCTTGACCAACCTGTCGCGTAAGCAAGCACTTCAATAATCTGCCCGTCTCATAGCTGGGGAGCAAAGGGATTGAAAGTGTGGAGCCGAAACGTTTCCGGAAAGGGATTTTATTCGACGGGTAAGCGGGCGATCATTGAGCTTCATGCCATGGGGGTATGCGCAGCTGGCCCCATGCGCATGTGTGCAGGCGGGGCGCATACCTGTAAGCGGTTCGCCCCACTGCCGTCACTCTTCCTGAGCTGTCGCGCCGCTCCCTGGGTTCTAAGGGGCTGCGGCGTTGTCGGTGCTGCAGAGGACTCAGCACGTAACGCGGGGTCGCAAGGCTTCGCTTGCAGTGTGAGACGTGATGGCTCGCGTATCGCGCTAGCATGCTGGGGGCGTAAAAATTCCAGAACACGGCTTGACAGCTTGTGAACACGCCTAAGTGAGATTGGAAAAAAAACACTAAAGCCCTAAGCAGTAAGCACTTTTGTTTTACGAAGCAAGCTTCAAGTCACCGAATCCTATGCGAGCAATTGTTAATTGCGTACCCTTGCTGCGACTTAACGCGTGCTGATCTTTCCAGGCGAGGCAAGGTTGCAGTACATTCACGGAAACGAACCTTAACGAACCATACTTTGCGAAGTCATCAAGGTGTCAATGCACGAAGGCGCAAGGCTGCAAGGTGTTTATGGGATAAAATCTTACTTCCCGTAAAGCTTTTATGCAGCTTCAGTACTTGAACTTCAGCTTCCATATCAAGACGGGACAGGTGACGGCCAGAAGAGCCGCAGGCCTTCTGTCGCCGGCCGCCTAGGGCCCTTCGACATCTTCGCCTTCTGCCACCTGGGGCTCTTCGGCATGTCCCGTACTAAGGTATGAAGCTATCATACCTAAAGCTATGGTCAGCGGCGTTGGCGATATCGTTTCGGTCATTAAGGGTTGGACGTCGAAACCCGTCTCAAATCTGTTTTCAAAATAATTACGTGCGCTTATCCTTCCTATGATGTGTGCAGAAGCGCGGTTGGGGAGAAGGCGGCGACAGAGGCGGCGGTCGAGGGGACGACACATGGCAGCAGGACAAGCGGGCAAGAAATGAATATACCAGGCGCGATGACGTAGGTGTATTCTAGGAGCCTAACAACTTATTTTACAGAGCTGAAGTCCTGTTTCTCTCTCATGTGATACTGTGGCAGAGGGGTTTAACCAACCCATCGCGTTGACTCCAACGGAGCGCGGTATGAGCCAGCCGCAGTGCATAGACCTAGCCGCATTTCCGGTAACGCGTGAACCTCTTCAAAATCCTATTGCCGCGATCCAATCCATCCCTTTATGTGCTTCGTGTCCCCGCTTCACCACTTCGCCTTTCGGCATTTCGGCAACGGTACTTCTATCCCACTTCGGTGGAGGAGAGGTAATGGACCTTCCCCCGCTTACACCCACCTCATCCCCTACCGGCTGTCCGTACTTCTGGTAACTGCTTCACTGGCCAGTGGCTCGTCTTACCGGCTTTCCCCCTGGCCATTCCCCCAACCAACCTAAACCCCAGCGCTCCACCCGCCTAACCTCCCTAGCCCTCCCGGCGCCCCTTCAACGCTCCCACTCTCCAGCAACCCCCTGGCCACACACACACACACACACCACCCACGGATCCGCCCTCGACCGCCACCTGTCAGCCACCGACATCCACATCCCCCCCCACCACCACCACCACCACATGACCACATGACCATCTCTCTCCACAGATGCGCAATGCCGCCTTTGAGGAGTACTACAAGGCCCAGGATATCGTACCCGTGGGCGAGTGGGAGGCCTTTCTGTCCACTCTCCGCTGCCCGCTGCCAGTCACCTTCCGCATCAATGGCTCGGGCAAGTTCGCCGACCACCTGAGAGACAAGCTGAAACAGGACTTCTTCGCCAAACTGTGCAGCGGAGAGCTCCTGGTGAGTGGCGGCCCCCCGGCCAGTGTGGGTGCCTGTTTTGATACCTGAGCCGCGACATGGGAAAAGGCGGAAGTGGGTAGCTGCTTGGATTTTCCTTCCAGAAGATGTTGAACAGAAGGCCGTGGTATCATGAGACCGTTTGTGTATGTATGTATGTATGTACGTATGTATGCATGTTTGTTTTTGGTGGGCCTACATAGAGGGATTGGCCATCGCTGGGCGAAAAAGCGTTGGCCCTGCCGAATCTTCTTCCCTTCTCTTGGATCTCATCCTCGTCCGGTCGTCTGGATGTCCCCTATAGGCCGCTGTCTTCCATCTTGAACTTGCGACATGCAGGGATTCCCCCTCTCCCTGGCGCCCCCTCCCCTCCATCCATCCATCCATCTATCATCTGGTACCTATCTGGTATCTGCTTCATTCGCCAGTGGTTCGTCTTGCCCCCCTCCCCTCCCCCTTCAGGTGGAAGGTGAGGCCGTGACCCCCCCCCGGCAGCTACCCTGGTACCCCAACGGCTACGCCTGGCAGCTGGAGTTCAGTCGCAGCCAGCTGAGGAAGATGCCGCTGCTGAGGGACATCCACGACTTTGTCAAGCACGCTAACGACGCGGGCAGCATCAGTCGGCAGGAGGCGGTGTCCATGGTGCCGCCGCTGTTCCTGGATGTGCAGCCACATCACCGGGTGAGTGGGTGGGGGAATGGAGGGGTGGGTGGGTGTCTCTAGGGAGAGGGGGCTGGCGGAGGGGGGGGGGATGGAGGGGGGAATCGACGGGTCGGTTTAGGGGGAGGAGGGGCGAATCCAGGGGGGGTGTTCGGGGTGGAAACGGAGGAAGGTTTCCCGTTGCCGTATTTCCCCGGGCTCCCTTCCCAAGACACGAACCTTAATGCACACGACTAGTTGGAGACTCACCTGGACATAAACCTGGATCCAGAGTTATCCCTAGATCCGGATTCAAATCCGAAAATTCCATCCAATTCGACCCTGCGATCCAACACACATCTCTCTCTCTCTCTCTTTCATCTTTTGGTCACGACAGTATCTTCAATGCAGTACAGGTTCTGGACATGTGCGCAGCCCCCGGCAGCAAGACCTTCCAGCTGCTGGAGGCCATCCACGCCAACAGCCGACCCGGCCAGACGCCCCCCGGCTTCGTGGTCGCCAACGACGCCGACTTCATGCGCTGTAACCTCCTCACCCATCAGACGAAGCGCGTGTGCAGCCCCTGCCTGCTCGTCACCAACCACGACGCGTCCAGATTCCCTGTGTTTCTGGCGGGGGCGCCGACGGCGGCGGCACAGGCATCGGCGGCGGGGGGGGCATCGGCGCCGCCTCCTCGACCGCCGCGCTACACGGTTCGTTTTGACCGCATCCTCGCGGATGTTCCTTGCTCTGGTGACGGCACTTTGCGTAAGAGTCCGGATATCTGGCGCAAGTGGAATGTGGGTGGCGGGAATAGCCTGCATTCCGTTCAGTTGAGGATTGCGATGCATGGAGCCAAACTGCTGGAGGTGGGTTGAGGGGGGGAAGGAGGGGGGGAGGGAGGGAGGGAATTTCTGGATATTACGTGGGTGTGTGTGTGGGGGGGGGCCTTAAGAGAGTGCATCGTGCTGCGGTGCTGCTGTGCTGCTGCTGCTGCTGCTGCTTAGCTGGATGATGATATCCTGTACTGGTAACCTTCGTCGTAGTGATGGCTGATCATGTGTCCCCGCGGGGATGTGGCCATTTGACGAGAACAGTTTATCGTGTCTGGACGTCTGACAGCGGCTAAAGCTACAGCAGCAGCAGCAGCACTTGGCCAGTACATGAAGAACTTTTAAAGCACCCTCCCATGCACTCTTGCCTCACGCCGCATATTTGGACTTGAGAAAAATCTAAAAGTTTTGAACTTTTTCCCCTATAAGTTGTGTCTTGTCGCGGGGACTCAGTCTTACATGGGACGAGTTTTGTGAGCATTTTGGTCTGCTGTTGTCGCTTCACCATCGATGTCGCTGCTGCAGCTATTGCCTCATCTCTGTTCTGCCGGATGACTATCTCACATGCAACTTCGTCGTGATCATTATCGCATATTTATATATATATGTGTATCTATGGGGATGAAGATTTTGTGACGATCGATTTCAACGATAAACTGTTTTACTTTACCGCGTGCCCGCACTGGGACACGAGAGGACTCGTCGACACCACTATCAGCAGATAGCAGATATCACCCGAGCAGAATGGCCTGGCCTGCACAGAGCCGCGATCACTGATACCCCTGAGCCCCCAAACCTGTCCTTCCGATCCTCCTGCAAACCCGCCTGACAGGGAATGCGTTGCATGCCTTGTCTCAATAGATGCTGGCCAGTACATAATGCCATCACCACTACTGCTACTACTATAATTGTACTATATTAGTACTCTCCTAGCACTGTATTGGTACTATATAACTACTATATAACTACTATATAACTGCTATAATACTACTATACTACTACTATAACACTACTATAATACTACTATAATACTAGTACTACAACACAACGCGTTCGCGAAACCCGTGTCATGGGTGACAAGGCGAAGAGGGGACTGCTAATGTGGGGTACAGCTTGCCGACAGTGTGGTGCCCCCCCGCCCCCGATATGGGTGCGGGGTCCGGCAGTTGGCCGCCCACCCCTGTGGCGGCTTGCTAGGACCGCCTGGGAGCAGCTGCAGCTGCGCAGGAGGACCCCAATCGCGTTAGGGTTTAGGGCCCCAGGGGCCGGGTGATATTTCCATGTACTGGCCTCGAGTGGTGCCGCGGAGGGGTGTTCAACCACGGTTGCAGCTGCCGCGGTTCTAGCTAGTTAGCTGATGTGCTGACGGACCGACGGACGGACGGACTAGCAAGCTGGATGATGATATCCTGTACTGGTAACCTTCGTCGTAGTGATGGCTGATCATGTGTCCCCGCGGGGATGTGGCCATTTGACGAAAACAGTTTATCGTGTCTGGACGTCTGACAGCGGCTAAAGCTACAGCAGCAGCAACACCGGTCCCTTTCCGGTCCGGTGGTCGGAGCACCTCGCACAGGGCAGCGTTCCCTCCCACCAACACCACAGAACATGTCTTACAATGTTGTTGCAAGTTTGGTGAAGTAGGCCACCCTCACCCCCGAACGCCATTCCCCACTTACCCCCTCCCAGGCGTAATTCGTTCGTTAGTTGCAAGTTAGTTACGAGTGCCGCACGAGTGGGGGCGGTGGATCCGTCAAAGCCGGGAGGCCATGGACTATATGTATATCGAAAGTTGACCCCACCGTACAACCGGCGGCGGTTCGTTCTCCCGCTGCGGACTTTTCGGGCTTTGAACGCCTTCCGGGAGTTCATTTCTGAGTTTCTCGCATTTGTGATTTTCTCCCCTCCCAGCCAAAGTCCCACACACGCTCTTCTTCCACCGATGACCCTCCTCGCCCCACCATAACCACCATAACCACAACCTTATGGCAGGTTGGTGGCCGGATGGTGTACAGCACGTGTACATTCAACCCCGTGGAAGACGAGGCCGTGGTTTCGGAGCTGCTGTTGCGTTGCGGCGGCGCACTAGAGCTCCTGGATGTGAGCGACTGCATGCCTCAGCTGCGGCGCATGGCGGGGAAACACACGTGGCAGGTCCGAGACCGTTACAGGTACGAGCGTGAAAGTGAGTGAGAGTGGGGGTTGACGGGGGAGCGGGTAGGTGGGTGGGGGGAAGGCACGGTGTGTTTTGATAACACGGGGTTGCCGTGGGCTGATTTAGCTGGGAGGAGGGAGTGGGTTGGTGCGCGCGTGTGTTTTTGTGTGAGAGTGTCTGGTCACAGTGGGAGCCGCGTGATTGGTGTGGAGGTTAAACATGAACATCAACGCGCATTGTGTGTTTGCGTGTGTGTGCGTGTGCTTGCTCGACCTCTGATGGCTCGACCTCTATTTACATGATAAACTCTTGTTGTTGTTGTTGTTGTCTGTAGGTTTTACAGCAGCTGGGACGAGGCCCGGGAGACTGGATACAAGCTGGAGGAGTCCATGTTCTCTAACCCAGCCAAGGCGGCACTCCCCCTGGAGCGATGCATGCGCTTCCTTCCGCACCACGGCGATACAGGCGGGTTTTTCGTTGCCGTACTTCGCAAGGTCTCGGAGCTGCCGGGCGGTGCGGGCAAGCAGCGGAAAGGCGCTCCTGCGGCGGCGACGACGACGGCGACGGCTGATGGTGCGGAGGTGAACCGGGATATTGAGAATGGCGGGGAAGAGGACGATAGGGCGGAGGAGGAGGTGGAGGATGCGGCAGCGGCGGCGGCAGTAGCCGAGGCGGGCGCAGAGGACGGGGAAGGCGCCGCGGAAGCGGCGGTGACGGCGGAGGACGCAGGTGCAATGGAGGGTGTGGAGCGGCCAGGAGCAGAAGCTGCCGGCGGCGGCGGCGAGGCGGCGACGGAGGTGACGCCGCTGGAGGCGGCTCGTGCTGCTGCGGAGGCGGCGGTGGCGGCGGCTGAGTCGGGGTTAGCGGCGTGCGAGGCCGGTGACAAAGAGAAAGCGTCGCTGGCGGTAGCACATGCAGAGGCGGCGGCCCGGCGGGCGGCGGCGGTGGCGACGGCTCAGCGAAAGTCGGACACAGCGTCGAAAGTCCAGGTCCAGGTAGGCGTATGTATGTATGTATGTATGTGAACGTTTATTTGATGCTTTTCGGTATCGTGTTGTGCCCGTGTTGTTTTTGACAGCTAAAACATTCCGCAGTGCTCAAAAGAGATGGAATTCGTTTTGCCGATTATGCGGCGGAAGGGGCCATGCCGCAAACAACATTTGTCGTTGGCAAAGCTCTTTTAAAAACATCCCAATGTAGGAGAGTTTTTACTACTGCTTAGATTAAAAGCTCAGATCTGTTGTGGGTGACCCCTTGTCCGGCCATCTGGACGTCGCGGTGGGGACGAGGCGACCCCAGCGACCGAGGCAAGAGCAGCTGGAGGCGGCGGCGGCGGCCAGGGAGGTGGACGGGGGGGAGGGCGGTGTCGCGGGCGAGGAGGCTCCCGCGGAGGCGGAGGCGGAGGTGGTGCAGACTTCCTGGATCAGGTCGGGGCGGGGGCCGGGTGGGGGGCGGGGGCCGGGGGGCCGTCATGTGCAGCTTATTCCATGTGGTCTCGCGATGGTTGGATACGTACATACATACATACATACATACATACATACATACATACATACATACATACATACATACATACATACATACATACATACATACATACATACATACATAGGTTAGGCACTACTGGTAACGCGCGACCATTGCCCCCGGGAAATTCCGGGATCGAGACCTGTCAGGGTCGAAAATCCTTCCGATGGTGGAAGGTATTGCGCCCCTAGTTGATGGACGGTAGTGACCTGTGAGCCGACCAGGAATGGAGTTGGGCCGCTGTCGACCCGGCAGATTCCGTTGGATGCTGGTGCCCCGGAATACCGGGGAAGGCAGGGTTTCGCAGGGTAGCTGCCACGGGTGAAGATGTACCCCCCCTGTTTCACACATCACACATCATACATAGGCAGGCGGCTGGCAGAGGTTAAGGCCTGACTTCTGCTCCCGGCCCACCCGGGTTCAAATCCGCCTGCCGGCTCCTCGGGTGTTTGAGGAGTGTTGAAATGGGAGGTGGCCCCCCATCATATAGACGATGTAGGACGTGATAAAATCAACTTGCGAGTTAACCAGGAACTAAGTTGATGCGCCATTGATCCGCTAGATTTGGTTGGATGCTGGTGGTGAGTTGCCGAACCCAACGAATATATTCTGAAGTCGGATGGGGTGACGGATTAGGGTGCCCCTCTAGCAGGGGAGAGCAGGGACTGCCCGGGAAAGGGGCCGCTGGCGAAGTTAACCACCCTGTAACATACATACATACATACACAATGCATACATTCCGTTTCTTTTAACCTTATTAATGTCAATATTCACATCCTCATCATTATCGTCCTTTCCTACCGCGTTATTCACGCAATCGCCTTTGCCTCTTCCCCCCCCCCGGGGAAACACAAAATAAACCAACACACACATACATATATAAATACGTACACGCACACAGGGGCGGCGGTGGTCGCGGTCGGCCCGATGGTGGCAAGTACTCCTACATCGACCCGGTGGCCCCCCTGGAGGACGATGCCGTACTGTCGAGCCTGTACGACTATTACGGCATTTCTCCAGACTTCCCGCTTCGTTCTCAGCTGGTGATGCGCGCGCTGGACCGGCGACCGAAACGGCTGTACTTTGTGTCGAGATCCGTACTTGACCTGATGATGCAAGATTCGAAGGAGCTGATGAAGATTGTGTCGACGGGGCTCAAGGTTGTTGTGGGGCCTGGAGGGAGGGGGAAAGGGAGGGAGGGAGGGGAGGGAACTGCGCTCTCTTTTTTCATCGACACGTTTTGTAACAGAACCACTGCTCCGCAAAACCCTGAAAGGGAAGAGAAGCGACATGGAGTTGGGTTAAGTTCCCACAAACCCCCCTCCCCCTGCACACACCCCTTTCCCCCGTCCCGTCCCGTCCCCCCCAGACCCCGCCTCCCCGTTGGGTGGTCCATTCGTTGTCTCTTCGGGGGGGAGGAGGTGTCGTCCTAGGCTTCGCGTTTCGTCACTGGACTGCTCCATGGACATGCGACCTTGCTGGACTGGTTTGTTCACTTCCCAACCTCCCCTCCCTTTTCCTCCCCCTCCCCTCCCTTACCTCCCCCGCGCTTGGGGTCCCCCCCTTCCCGCCCCCTTTCCCCCCTTCCCGGCCCACCCAGGTGTTTGAGCGGCAGGTGCTCCGAGACCAGGTCAACGAGTGCCTGTACCGCCTCTCCCAGGAGGGCCTCCCGCTCGTACTGCCGTACATCACCCGTCAGCGCATCGAGGTGCCCCCCCATGTGCTGTTGCAGCTTCTGCAACAGCGCAACCTCATTCTTCCCGAGGCGGCGGCAGTGGAAGGTGACACGACGGTGTCAGGTAGGCGCTACCTGGCTTTGAAGCGGTAGTAGGGCGTGATCCACTATGCAGTCGTGATGATGGTGGGTGCAAGGTGTGTTCGGTCAGCGTTTGGTCTCGGCTGCTTCCGCTATCTGCTTTTTTTCTATTACCGTTCGAGTTTACCTATTTCTATTCATCCTGTACCTGCTCAACCCCCCCTTGGATACAACCTCCCACCTTTGATACAACCCTTGTCGTACCTATTGCCGTACCTATTGCCGTACCTCAACCCTTGTCGTACCTATTGCCGTACCTCAACCCCCGCGCTCGTGTAATTAGGAAACCCCCGCGGCAACAAGCCCACCCTGACGGACGAGTCCGTACTGGCCGCCCTAGAGCCCCTCAAACTGGGTTGCGTCGTGTGTGAGCTGTCCGCTGAAGATGCGCACAAACTGGGGTTCGCCGCCTCAGTGAAGGCTAAGCCCCACGAAGCCAAGGCGCTGCTGGCGGCGTCAGCCATTACGGCTGTGGCGCCGGTTTCGGAGCCGCCTGAGACCAATGGTGGCGGCGGCGGCGGCGGCGTGGTTGAGGGTGCGGAGGATGAGGAGGTTACTGGCGGGCTGGCGGCCAATGCCCCGCTGGCGGTGGTGGCTTGGAAGGGCAAGGCGAGTTTGGCGATTATGGTGGAGAAGGCGGAATGCGCCCAAATGATTGATAAGCTGGTGAGTGACATTGCTCTCGGGGGGTTCTAGGGGGATTGGGGAGGGCGGTTAGGGTTTGAGAGTTTATTTATTTGTTATCAGGAGGAGAAATTTATGGGAAGGGGAGGGGGTGAGGAGGGGAATGGAGATCTTTTGAGATGGGGGAAAGGGTGTTGGCAGAGGGCGTGTGAGGAATGGTATGACGATGTATCCCCATCTTGGTGGTGGTCATGGTGCTGGTGCTGGCGGTAGAGGTGGTTAAGGGTCAAGGCGCTGGTTTGGCATGGTATGTGTGTGACAAAAGCAGCTCATGGCTACACTTGAACAATCACGTCTGTTACCCCCCCTACTGCTACTGCTACTGCTCCTCCTCAGGATGCGGAGCTCAAGAAGGTGATGAAATGACAGTGGTGGAGGAAGGGAGGGAGGCTGCCATGGTTTGCCCCTGCACCGCACGTCTGTGTTCTGGAAGTGCCGAAGCCCCGGAGTGCTGGCTTTGCGTGTGATACTCCAACACACATATACCGTTCTGGGTGCTGCCCCTGAGACTGCGCTGCTTTGCCGCCCTGCTGCGGAGGCTAAGACCACCACCAGCAGCAGCACCATCGCCAAGGTCGGTCACGGCGTCGCTGTATCGCGGTCATCTTGGCCTTGGACGAGGGCCGCCTTCTGATGCCATCTCTCCGCACCCATCCACCCATCCCTCCCGTACGTGAAGGCCTACCCGGGGTACCTGGGTGGCGACTAGAGCGCTTTAGCTTGTTGCTATGGCTGCGGCTGCGGTGGCTGCTGCGGCTGCTCAACTCGGCGGGCAGGGTTTTGCTAGGATGTGACAGGAAAGGGTTAGGAAGCCGGCGGGCGCTGCGTAAATATGTGTGTGTGTGTTATTTCTCCCCTTTCCCTCCTCTTCTTGCTGAGAGGCTACGGCAGTCGCGTCAGCAAAGCTTTGTGGTGTGTTGGTTCTTTGGTGAGAACGTTTGTGTTTTTTGGGGTTGACGCTTAAGATGACGCATGCAGACCGACAGACAGACGGACGGGTGAATGGATTGGTGGGCAGACATAAGATTGATAGACATGCATGCATACATACATACAGTGTCTTTTCCTGAATGTATGCGACCTTGATGAATACATAATTCTATTAAATGGCTGGGGTGATTTGTAGCAGTCACTAGTATTGTAGCCACGGTGTTGGTTTCGGAGGACACGGCTGCGTACTTTAGCTTGGTAGGTAAAGTTTAATATCAGGCAAGAGTGGTTCCGGAGCCGTCGCCGTGCGGATGTACGGCCTACTTGCCTACATGCGTCCATGAAACACTAGTAGTGCATGCATACATAATTCCCAATGTACGGACAGGGCCTGACATTTGTACGGACAGGATGTGAAGTAATCCTTTCTAATCGCACCAAATGAGCCCACATTTATACCCACACATTAAGACGACCCCACACTTCGCCCAGATTAGGAATTCTGCTCCACACCCCGTAGCTGTTGAGTTTCCGTTTGCCGCTTCTTTTCCTCGCCGAGCAGTACATTCCCCCCTTGCCCCTGATGTTCGAAACGTGTATGAGAGTGTATGCGCGCTGGGGGAAGGGGGGAGGTCGGAGAGATTCTTCCCCCCCCGGGCGGCTGTATAGACCCGTGCCTGGATGAGGCGTGGTAGTGAGGGGAGGGTCACAGGGAGGAACCGTGGAGGCCCCACATCCCATCTCCTTACCAACAAAACACCAACACCGAAACCGAAACCGGTGTCCCAACGCAGCTCACAACGCACTGCAACTCGGTTGCACGCGGAGGGAACAGCTTCGGACGGGGGGGTCCGCGCGCTGTGGCGGCGACCCCCCCCGCATCTGTCATCCCCGCCTCTGGTTTAAACAAGTACCGATTTCCATTATCGTAATCGATTAATGTAAACTAGATAATCCCGGCCGCATTCGCCCGCCTCTCCCTGCGTGGTAATCCCGCCGCTAGGTTAACCATCCGTATGGCACCCCTCGTCATGACGACGCCATCACCACACCCCGCAGTATATCGCTGGGCCACTGCCGACACTGCGAGCATCACCACCAGCACCACCACCATGGCTGGGGGCCGCAATTTCCAATGGCGCTGGGCATCCTTCCCGAGCGCCGCAGTCCCATCCTGTGTCTGTGTGTGTATCTGTTACATATCGATCCGGGCCTGACGCTGGCCAGGGGCACCTAACCGTATACCCCAAGGGGAACGACCGCCGAAGTACTCCATCATTGGAGGGGCGTTATACCGATCAGAGTACTAACCTTTCTCCCTTATCAACGCAAGGCGCCGTTACGTGTTCGTATCCTCTAGCCAGCTACATACACACCAGCTCAGATGCCAAGCAACGTCCGTTCCACCGAGCGCATGCGCTACAGCTGCGCGACCTACCCATGCACCCACATCGCCACCCTATCCTTGCGAATCCCGCCGCCGCCCAGTATCGTTATCCAACAACCATCTGGTATGCAGCCTGGTCCAGGCCACATGCAGAATTTCTTTCTCCGCCACTGCTCTGCGGCAGTGGACTGATCTTACTGGTGAACTCCCACTACAGCCGGCCCCCAAACTGAGTGAACCCAGTGTCTCATCTCAGCATCCGATACCCAATTCCTGATCCACCCGAGGGTAATCAGCGGTGGAATCCGAATTCATATCTTCCTGTTAAGCTAGATGTTGCCTCTGGGAATTGGACTCCAGGCTTACTTGCCGTTTATTGCCAATTATCTGTGTGTGTGTGTCTGTGTATCTGTGTGTGTGTGTGGAAGCTCGGAGGCATATAACGACCGTGCTGCCACGACACTCTGGGGCCACGCAAATTTGGTACTGCTATGCGCTCTGCCGTACAAAATTGCTCATATCTAATCCTGTGGCTCCTACTTCTCGTCACACGCTGTGTTTTATTGCCTTTAAGGAACCTCGCCTTCACCTTCGCGCAAACTCGACGCCTCCGTCCCAATTGACTATGCGCTCTGCCGTACAACATGTCCATTCCAGGGAACGGGATAACTACATGTGCGCTGATTTCTGGGCACACCTTGTGTCATTCGCGTCGTTGGGCGCTCCCCCCCCCCGGACCTGGGACACTGTGCCTTGGTAATCACTGGTGGTCCTGGTGTGGAGCTTGATGGTGGCTTGGGTTCGTAGGTCGCGGCAGTGTGTCCTAACCCAGGGCTTCCTGGGTGGGGCCCCTGCCTTGAGTCGCTGGCGGCACACTTGCTACAGGCTTGGAATAGGGGGCCCTTAGGTACCTGCGCCTGCCCGGCTCTCGTTGGGAGTCTGTGTGCGTTTCAGCTATAGTGTTGGGGGTTGGTTCCCTGCCCCTCTTCTCATCCTTGCACCCTGTCCGAGATTCCGGGGGTACCCGGTCTGCCCTCTCTTTTGTTTGGAAAGGCCTTATTAAGGAATATGTCATGGGACTTCTGGTACTTGAGAATGCACGGCTCCCTTGCTTTTTGCTGGAAGTACGTGCCCTGGGTTAGGTTGGTTGATAGCCAACCGCTAGCATGTACGCCTGATGATGTCCGGGTTGGTTCTCTGTGCCCATTGTAATGATTCCTTCCATCCTAAATACATACGTGTCGGACCGAAGGCGGCATTGCAGTGCAAAAGAGACAAGACCAGCCAACCGACACCAAGCAATGTACGGAAATGCTCCGAGGTATTACACAGACTGTCCCGTCGCACTCAGATCGGCACCGGAGGATGGTTATGGCCGTGGATGATATATGGACTTCAGTGGATACGAACATATATATGGGTGGAGCATTCGTATGTTACGGAAAATGGATTTCCTCGTACAGTTGTATGGACAGTCATGGTGTGTGCGGGACTTAATGCACACTGAAACGGGTCTTTCGGGAAAAGCTAGCAAGGGAGGTAACGCCGGCAGGCTTGTACGTTACTTGTTTCCTTTTTACTAGCCAAACAGCAGGATCTAGCGATAGTGGGATGGAAGTGGCTGATCTGGTTCGGCTGATTTGGTTCGGCTGATGAGAGGGTGATGAGAGGGTGATGAGAGGGTGAGAGCGCGCGTGGCGAACTGGCGAGAGACGGAGAGAGAGATGGAGCCGGGGATGAGGAGGGCGTCGGAAGGGGTCGTGGGGAGGGGTTGTGGAATAGCTGTTGGAAGCTGTGCATGCTTCCCTGCCCAGCTGTCGGCACCCCTGACGGCTTGGAAGGGGGCAGGTGGGCAGGAAAAAAAGGACGGTGGCATAAAGGCCGTAAGCTGTAGTGGCTAAGGCCGCAAGGGAATAATGAGGTTCTGCGTGCGGGTGTATTGGGAGGTCTCGCAGCGGTCAGCCAAAAGCCGCCCTCTGTGCTGAGTGCCGTACAGTATTCGCGCCTTGCGGGTTTATCGCGATCCGTATGCTATGGATGACCATAGGGGTTGCGTACCGAGGCATTGAAGTGGTGCCTAAATTGCGACAACATTGTTTCAAGCATCGTAAACGTGTTCTTGGAAATGGCCGTCGTGGGAAACTGGACTACCGGTATCGCATTTACAGACGTCGCCTAGATTGCCGGCATGGTATTCATATTCGTTACACCATGAGCATAAGCTTGCTAACAAGGGATATGGCCAGTTCAGTCCCATCAACGAGCGGCAGGTAAAAGTTGGAGGCAATTTGTATGATGGCGTCCCTTTGGGAATCTCCTCTTAGTCTGAACTCGACTCATTGGAATTATAGGGTAGCATTGGCGGAGGCACTTGGGCGTGCGGTTCCGGTAAGACACATTCAGTCCATTTGCTGTTGTGTGCGCTTGGCGTCTGCTAATAAAACCTACATCCTTGTGGTAGGGCATCACTTCACTTTTTGCGAGGAGCTTTGCATCCCTGGTTGGATCTGGAATACCCAGCCCCCGACCTGATGTCGCGCTGCAACTCAGCACGCCGCACGGCGGCCACATCAACCGGATGATCAATACCGCTGAAAGTATAGTGGAGCTTGATTATGTCTTGCATAAGTTTAGGAAGTTGCTGCGGCCGTCCAACATTGGGGCAGCAACCATGAAGCTGGAGCTCTTGCGCCGGTAAGTCATCTGTCCACAAAGCCCCAATCTTTTGGAAAGCGGAGAGGGGTGAATGGATGCGTGGAGAACGTAACCTCGCGGGTTCAGGCCGGGGAAGTCAGTACCCATGTCCATCCACTAGACCCTGTCCCACCTAACCCAACCCCGCACACGTATCCACACTTTTATCCATATCACCCCTCCCCCTCCTCCTCCGGTGCGCTTTGCAACCCCCGATCCGACCTCGCCAGGTACGAGCAGTCCACCCCCGCCTCCCACAAGGTCCTGCGGGTGGCTTCGGAGCTTCACAAATACGTGAACACGTACTCGGACCGTCTGTCGCTGACTCAGGTGATACGAGGCGGCGGGAGTTAAGGGGGAGGGGAGGCGGCGGCTGCTCCATGGGACTAAGGACAAGGACACTGGGGCGTGCCAGTTTCCTGGGGTTATGTCGTACGTATCGTATTGTATTGTGCCGTATCGTGCCATGTGGGGCGGCGTATCGTAGGTGCTGCCAGTGTAGGCACTGCACCAGGTCTGAAGGTCCTTAGCGGATTCTCCGCTAAAACCCTAAAACCCTAAAACACGAACCCCCACGCTGTCGCTCCCTCCTCCCTCCCCAATCATCCCCGACCAGTAACCGCGCCGACAAGATCCTCTTCCCCAACCCCCTTTCGCACCACCCGCGTTTCCCCGCCAGATTGCCAATGTCGTTCGTGGTATGAGCAGTGTGCAGTACAGGCTGCCCCCCCAGCTGCTCGTACGACTGGCGGCGGGGGTGATAGCGGAGGGGGGAGCGGCGCTGCGGTTTGCAGCGGGCGCGGACGTGCGGGACGTGTTTTACGGCTTTGCGGGCCAGGTAGGCGGTGGGCGTGTGGGTATGGGCGTGTGGGTATGGCAGGATATGGGTATGTGTCTCGTCGTCCCCTGGCACTCGGTGGTGCTTTGTTCACTCGCCTCCTGACCGGGGGACCCCCCCTCCTCCACTCACTCTCCCTTTCCTCTCCTCTCCTCCCTCTCCGGACATCTGTACCGCATCATGACGTCGTCGCAGGGCTTTACGAATCGGCGGTTCTGGTCCCAGCTTTGTACGGCAGTCCTGCCGCGCCTCGGGTCCTTCGATGTCAACACACTCCCTGGCTTGGTGATGGCGTTGGAGCGGGCGGGGCAGCTGCCCCCACCACCCAGGGGTCAGTCCCATCAGCAGCACTACTGGCCGCAACAAGCCGCTGCAGAGCTAAGTGACGCTGACGGCACGGCCGCAGCTGCAGCACCAATCGAAAGCCGCAACGGCGGCGACTCCGCCGCCGCCACCGCCGCCGCCCGAGGAGATAGGCTGGCAGTAGCAGCAGCAGTCGAAACGGCTTCGGAGCTTTCGGCGCAGGTGGCTGTAGCTCGTGCGGCGCTACAGCTTATAGCGGGCTCTTTGGACCGGATACAGCCCGGCAGGCTGGCAGACACCGCCTGTCTGTTGGTGACGGTTGCGCCGCGGTTGGATGCCGTACAAGTGGACAAGCGACTGGTCTCCAAGTTTCAGGTGTGCTTGTCGGAGGGATTGGGTTTGGGTGAACGGGGGTTGTAGGCGGGTGTTTGCCGGATCGGGGATCGGGGCTCCAGTACGTGTGTGTATGTGTGTGTGGAGGGAAGGGCATGTGAAGGGAGATGTGTATGGGACGGGAATATGGGGGTAAGCTGCTCTATGTATGTATGTATGTATGTATGTATGTATGTATGTATGTATGTCCACATGACTGTCGCCGACCTGCCGAGGCTTCCTTTGCGCCGCCACCGCTGCGCCCACTCCTCCCCCACCCCCCTAGAATCCCCCCCCACCGCTCATTCGAGGATATCCCCTTTCCCTCTTTTTCCTCTTCCTTGCGTTCGACGTTTTCTTTTTTACTTTTTCTGCATGTATCAATTTCTACCTACCTACCTACCTGGCTGGCTGGCTGCCTACCTAACTTCCATTCTTTCCATCCATTTACCCTCGCCTCTCTCCCCATCCGCACGCTTTCCCCTTGACCCCCCACCCCGCCATCACCCCCCCCTCCTCCTCAGTCCGCAGCGATGCCCGGCCTGCCCTCACTCAACCCCAACCAGCTGACCAACATGCTGCTGGGCCTCCTGTACCTGAGACACGCAGCCGCCTCCACCTCCGACCCCCCCTCCTCCGCCTCCGCCGCCCCGTCCACCAGCTCCATCACCCCGCTGGGCCCCCTCCCGCAACACGTCGTGGCCGCCTTCGAGCCGCACCTCCAAGCCGCCGCACCCACCATGCAGCTCCTGCATGTCAAGCGGACGGTACAGGCGCTCGCGCCGTCAGCTGCCGCCGCCGTCGCCGTGGCCGCAACAACAGCAGATGCAGAAGCTCCGAAAGCAGCGGCAATAGCACCAAAAGCTGCGGCATCTTCAAAAGCAGAAGCAGGAGCAGTAGCAGCAGGAGCCAGCAAAGGCTCGGAGGCAGCGGCGCTGAATCGGCTGTTGAACACGCTAGCCCGCCGCGCCGCACTGCTGCTGCCCTCAGCCTCGGAGATCACCGCTGGAGCCCCCAGGGTGCTGAACCGGGGGTCACTGGCGCGGGTGCCGCGCGGCGGCAAAGATGCGGGCGCGGTTCTGGCGGCGGCGGCGCCGGCGGGTGACCCGCGGGTCGCTGTGGACACTCCCTTGCTGGGGCTGCTGGAAGGGCTGGTGCGCGTGTACACCTGGGCGATGGGGGTCAGCGACAGCGCCATCCCTGCCGCCGTTGCAGTCGCGTCATCGTCGTCGTCGGAGCAAGCTGTCCTCCGTGCGGCTCGGCGGCGGCAGCTTCCGGATGTGGCTGTGTTGTTTGACCGTGTGGCAGTGGTGGCGGCGGCGGGGCGGGCTCGGGGCCTGTTGACTGACGGGCAGTCGACGTCGCTAGGGATCCGGCTACAGCTGCTCCTTGACGAGGCGGCAGTAGCGCCCCTGCTGCTGCTCGTAGGGTCCGGTTCCGTAACCTCCTCGTCCCCCCTCTTGTCCTCCACCGCCTCGTCCACGCCACTCTCCCAACCAAGGAAGTGACGTCAGCTTAAGAAGCCAGCAGCGATGGACAGTACAGCGATGGCAGCACAGCGATAGAATGGGGTTTGTTTTGTGGCAGGTGGTTAAGGGGCGATCGGGTTGTCACACGGCATGGCTCGGGTCTTAGGCTATTGCTACGAAGAACGACGGAGGCGTTATGATGGCGTGATGTGCGTTTCAAGCCGTGTTTGTGCTTACGTGCGTGCATATGTTGTTCTTGGCTTATACGTATTCCTGTCAAGGATCAGAAGGAGTAGAATATTTTGTTAAAGTTTTATCGGGTTTGTGTGCGCGGCTTCGACGTTCCAGAAAGATACCTGCGGAACTGTTCTCCTATCAACAGAAACTTGATCCTAGTCCTGGGTGTCGCTCCAGTGTCCAAACCGTATTTTGTCTTTAGATCCAGCTTGTACTCTGATTAGAAGATTCAACAATAGCGGAACTATTCCCAGTAATAATCAAGGGAGATAGATCTCCCCTGGTGATATTGGGATTGGCGCCCACTCCTGATCGCCCTTCAATTGCTTAAACTCCCTTTCGCAGCGAAACATCTCCTGCCAAGCTGTAATAGTAGGCAGGTGAAGGATGTGCGCCTGTAAGCAACAACATCCCACGCATCACCGTATTTTGACGACAGCAACAACAAGCGACATTAAGCTTACAAGGCATTTCAACTCATTTTTGATCCGACGCGCATCGCGAACATCCATAAACCTACTCCTCAACATTTGCCATTACTTCATGCGGGCGATGGACTCAACCGGCAACAACAACGCAGATGTTCAACCGCGATGCGATTGCTGAAAGTAATCTCTACCGCCCGGCAGACCTACCTATCACCATTGGAAAGAAAACGACCTTTGCTACCTCACCGAGGCAGACGCTGTCCAGGTCGTGTCATAAAAAAACGTTTCTTCCACCCAATTCTCGCACATATAGCAAAATCGTGCCGCAAAGAGTGGCGTACTACATCGCCGTACCGGTCTCTTTAGGCGCCAAAAAACTCCTTCACCTATTTTCTTTTCGCGTTTATATGCACACAATATACCGAGCCCAACTCATCTGCCCGCCAGCTGTCCGTCTAGGGGACAAAAACAGCCAGCGGTCCCGAACTACATTCTTCAAACACAAGCAACAGTCAACCTCCAAGTAGCAACCACCGAGCTGGCAAGCCCCCGCAGCTTCTATGCCAAAAGGGTCATGTCAACTTCAGAAACGTTTACACACACACACACACACACACACACACACACACACACACACACACACACACACACACACACACACACACACACACACGCGCACGCACGCACGCACACCGGGCTTTCGAACCTCCGCGCGAGGCCCTCACCGCCGCCAACGCCGCCGATTAATGTTTGACCGGTCAACGCCAGGAGGTCTTCGGCGCACTGATAACATATCGTGGGGTATATCGATAAGCCCCCATCCCCCCATCCACCAACTATGTTTTTCACAAGCTTGAACCACTTTTGTTCAGTCACTATATGCTCACATGTCACATGGCTACCATGAACTAAAAGTAGCCGATAGAAGGTTCGCGATGACCAACATACATATCACAGCCCAACATCACATCACACCTACTACCCTACTGCAGCCTGCCACCACCAAGTATTCCGGCAAACCTCGAGTAGCGTGACTACCAGTATTGTAACCGTACCCCATCGTCGTACAGGCTCCAAAACCGCTCCAAATTAGCGGCGCGCGGACGGAATGGTCGCTGAATTGTCACCGCCAGTCCCCGTCCCGATCTTTCGCCCCTTTCCTTTCTCCCTCCCCTAGATCCATCCCTACCTTAAAAGGGTATAACAAGCCTAAAACTACTCAAAAACCCTAAAACCTGTAAAATCCCTTACCAATCCATACCGTAAAATCGGTCCGCCTTCCCCATTCTTCCAGTCAAGAAGTAACCCCTGGATATAAACCCAACCTCACCGGTTTATTTACGACACTTCCGTAGGGGCGACCTGGCAGCCCCTCGACGCCCGTACGGCAGTACGGCACTCCGCCTAACACCCCACATCAAATGCGGCAACTCTCTGAGTCCACGCCAACAGCGCTGTTTGCACTGAAGCATGTATTTCTATTTTGAGCTATCCGCTGCAATCGTAGAAAACCTACATCTTGTCAACATTGAAAGCAAAGGTGTCATTAAGAGATCAAGAAAACGAAAACTGCCGCAACCAATACCGCACGTGAGTGTTAATTTGCTTGATTATGCTTCCAGCACCGTACAATCGTACACTCGTATACTGCCAGCTGCAACAACTCCGAGGACTTAATCCAACCTGCCGACGTTTTAGATGCAACTGCATGGAATTGACACGCATGGGTAGCACAGAACTCCTGCAATAAGAGGAACGACGTCCCCAACTTCAACAGCACCACGATCAACACCACAAACATGAACACCATTGCATGCGCGCACGCGAAACATACACAACCAAGCGCTATCATATCCTCACCCAAATCTCCTCTCTCTCTTTCCTGGCATCTCTCACCACACTCGGAGTACGGAAACATTATAAAACCCCAATAGCACATACGGACGGATAGCTAGATGGGCAGGTAAAGTAGACAGGCAAACAAACAGACAGACGGACAGAAAGATAAGCATACACCACACGCACACGTTTCTCATTCAATTGTAAAATACCGTAAACACCTGCGCGCGCACACCCCTGGCTCGACACGACTCACCAACCTCGTCTCGCCGTACAGACCTTGACAAGGCGGGGTGGGACGTTTGAGGAATTGACGGCAAATGAGGGTGCGCTACTGCCAATGGAAAGGCACGTCGAAGATCGATAGCCGAAACATTCCTAACCGTGGCGACAGTGTACGATCATTAAAAAAACGAGGTACGACAGGCACAAGCTTAAAATAAGGTAGCACTCGTGACGTTGCTGCCCGGGCAGCGGAGCGGCGGGCGCTGCAGTACACCTTCTCTACGGCAAACTACTCTAGAACGTCGTACATACGTACTTAAATATTTCTCTACGGAACACCTTAACACCAGCTCTTGGGACAATCGGTGCCACGCTACTACGTCCGCTTCGCCAATCTGTCATTTAGCTAACCTGCCAACTTTCCTGGTCTGCATTTTCTTTCGTTTTTCGCCGTACAACAAATATTATATATGTATTACTTCCAATAAGTAACACACCATCCTCACCATCATCCTCTCCAGCTGCACATGTCTATCTTCTATTCGCCTGACCAGCTCTTTTACAGCGAACGGTTGTCGCAAATGTGCCGTGCTTCCTGATATGATTGGAAGGCATATTACTCGGTAACGGGACGCCGGATAAGGCGAATAAGAGGGATTGGGGGCTGCGAAGCAGCAGCAGTAGCAGTAGCAATAGCAGCAGTCCTGGTAAGAACAGCCGTTGCTAAAGCAGTAGCAGCAATAGCAGCAGTGACAACAGAAAAAACACCCTACCGCCCCAAACTTCACAGACAACACAACAGACACGTTCGCACACACATGTACTGCGTGGCTCTCTGTCGGCCATACGGACTGAAAGCCCAATGCATCCTTTCCTTTCCTCCTCCTCCTTCCATTATCACCTCCTTTCTTCGCTTCCCCAACTTCTCAACAACCTCATATCCCCCTAACACCTCTCCCCCTTTTAAACACCTCTCCGCCCTTGGTATGGTATGAGGGCCACCTGCAGGTCAAGCCTTGAGCCTCAGCCCGTATATTCGGGCCAACAACAGCCCAGCTATTGACCTGTAATTGTAATTGGGGCGCTGCTGCCCCGCCTCCTCCTCCCCTTTCCCCTCACCCTCCCGCCCGGGGCTCTGTACGGCACCCGGCTGCTGCTGCTGCAGCAGCAGTTGTAGGACCTGTAATTGCTGGATCAGCTGCGGCGGCGGTTGTTGTTGTTGTTGTTGTTGCTGCTGTTGTCGTTGCTGCTGTTGCTGCTGCTGCTGTTGCTGCTGCTGCTGTTGCTGCTGTTGCAGCTGTTGCTGCTGCTGCTGTTGCAGCTGCTGTTGTTGTTGATGTTGCTGTTGCTGCTGTTGTTGTTGTTGCTGCTGCTGCTGTTGCTGCTGCTGTTGTGGTTGTTGATGGCGATGACGGTGCGTGGATGACGGCAGCCCCTCCTCCTCTTCCCGAGCAAGCGAAGGGCTAGCAGGTGCTGAGCCCGGGTCCTGCGGGCGCAGCTCAAGATCGTCCGGGGACCTCCGCCGCTTCGGCCGTGTGTCAGTGGGGCCGTTGACCCGTGGGTCAGCAACAGGTTTGGCCTCGTCTGACGGCATCGCTGCAGCTGCCCCAGAAGGCCCCATGGTCCCTGAGGCCTCATTCACACCTGGCTGTTGCTGTTGCCGCTTCTGCTGCTGCTGTTTCTGCTGCTGTAGCTGATGGTGATGCTGAAGCTGCTTTTGCAATTGCTGTAGTTGCTGCTGCTGCTGCTGCGGCGGCGGCGGCGCTTCAGTGGCATGACGTCCTGGATCCAGACGGCACATGGGTCCGACGGGTGCCGCCGGCCGCATGTCGCCCCCGTTCACTGCCATTGTACCGACAATGGTAGATCCGGGTGGGGGCCCGGCAGCGGCCGTGGCTGCAGTGCAATCCGGCACGGAGCTGTAGCAGGTAAACTGCGCTGCTGAGCTGTCACGTACGTCCACAGTCGTACGGGCAAATGGTCGCGAAGCACTGCCGCCATCGAGCATGAGTCCTGATTGGGACACCAGCGGCGGCGGCGACGTTTCCCCGTGACGGTAGGACAAAGGGTGGTACGGCGCGGGGCCAGGGGGATGGCGAGTAGGCCAGGATGATGCGGTTCCCGGGGCCCCAGGCGGCGGCCCCCGGCTGAGATTGCAGCCGGCGGGCATGACGACAGCGGTGGCATCGTAGCCGAACGGCGATGTACTACGACGCCGCGCCGATCCGGTAGCCGCACCGTCTGCGGACGCAGGGTTGCCGACGTTGCCGTCACCGCCGTCGCCGTCGCCGCCGGCGCACCGCTCGACGTTACCGCTGGCATCGACCGGTGCTGCGGCGGCATGGGTGGGTGCAGCTGCAACGGCGGAACCCGACTCACTGCTCGCCGTCGCCTCCTGTGCGCAGTGGACGACGTCACCGCCTTGCCGCTGCTGGAAGTGCTGGTACACTTGGAAGTGGGTTGGTTGCTGTAGGCGCGCCGGCGGAGATGGGAGAGGCGGCGGCGGCGGCGGCAGCCGAGACAACGGCCTCGTCTGTGCGCCGGCTGGCGGCGCGGAATTCCGCCAAGCGAGAGGTCGCTGTACTGGGGCTGACCACCCCTCTCCGCCGCCGTACATGTACGGGTGCTGCCGCGTCCCGTACGGGTACTCATGTCCATACCCTTGACCATCGTAGCCATAATTGCCGTCGTACTTGCATCCGTACGGCCCATTGTATGCGTACAGATGGTGATAGCGGTACGGCGGGTACGGTGGGCCCGCTATCGGGTACGGACATGGGTACCGGTACGGAAAGGGGTACGATGCCCACGCGACACGTGGGACGGTCTGCAACCCCTGCAGGCTGCTGCTCCCGGTGCTCCCGGTTCGCAGCAAATGACCCTCGCCACCAGTGACGCCACCGCCCTCGGCTATACGCCTGGACGGCGACGGCCGCATAGGGCAGAGGTGGGGATGCGGCGCGTGGCTGAAGTCGCAGCACCAGCTGCAGTACTGCGGGCAGTAGCCAGTGGCAACAGCGGAAGAGGCGCTACAGCCTGCGCTGGGAAAACTGGCGGCGGCTCCGGCAGGTAAAGCTACTGCTGCCGCCGCCGCCGACGGGAGTTGCTGCAAGTACGGAGCCCCAAACGGGTCTCTGTCGTCGCCGCCGTCAGGTTTCGCGTTCGGGCTATTACCAGGGTCATCAGCAGCGGCAGCGGCGGCAGTAGCGCCATCAGGGGCGGGTTCTGGCTCTACCGGCCAGCCGCCAGCTTGGGTATGCTGGCGGCCCGTGGCCCACAAAGTTTTCACCCAGCTGCTACTGCCGCTGCCGCCGCCACCGCTGCCACCGCGTCCAGTCGCGGCCTGGCAGGGATCACGAATGGCGAAACTTAAGCTATGGCTGTAGCAGTCCCATCCAGACGCGTTGCCTATACAAGGCTCGCGAAGCTGTACCTGATGGTGGTGGTGATGGCGAGGATGGTAGTACGTTTGGCCGTACGGATGTGGGTGCGGGTACCGCGCTGTGTACAGCGGGGGTGTAGCATAGAGAGGATAGGCGCCGCCGGCCGCCTCGGGGGCCGCCGGGGCTCCGTGAGGGCCGCAGGGATGTAGGGCTTCAGAGCCGGCTTGCCGTACTAAATCCCGGCCCACGTCCAGGGCGGAACCAAACGAGCTGCTCAGGAAACGGTCAGGTGCCGTGAGGATCCGATGCGGCTCCACACGCTGCAAGTCAGGGTGCGGAGGCAGCAGCTGCTCCGCCGCCGCCGCCGCCGCGCCGGCAGAAAACGCAGTGACGGCTGCTGGCGGCACTGGCGCGGTGGGCCCAACGGCACCGCCGGGGGTGAGTGCGGTGGCGGCGGCGACGGCGGCGGAAGGCATTTGCTGCTCTTCATTTGCCATCGCTCGGGCACTAGACGTGCGAGGTACGGACGCCGCCCTGCCGCAACTGCCGCCGCCGGCGTGCGGGTCAAAAGAGGCTGCTGCCGCCACCTCGGGCTCTGGTCCCAGGGATTCCGCCACCTCCTCCATCGGCGCCTCTCCGCCCGCTGCCGACAGCGGCGAGGCCGCCGCCATCCCACCAGGAGACTCTGCTGCATGTGGTGGCGGCGGAACCGTACCAGCAGCAGCAGCAGCAGCAGCAGCAGCAGCAGCAGCAGCAGCAGCACAAGCGGGCGGAGATCGGCAATCAGGGAGCGGTCGCCAGGTCGGCCTCAGCTGCCTGTGGTAAGCTCCGCCGCTTATCTCTCCAGGGCAGGCCGTGTACGGCGTTGCTGGCTGTACTGTGCCATACAGGGCGAGCTTCGGGGGCCCATACCCGCCGCCCGAGCTCGCGCCGCCGTGTGCTGTGGCTCGCGGCGAGAAGCCGCAGCACACCGGCACAGGGTACATGGGCCATCCTGCGGAGCCGTTGACGTAGCGTTGCCAGTTATGACAGTTGTTAGTTGCTGGCACCGTTGGCGCCATCGACGGCGCCGGTGGAGGGTGCTGCCCAGCTGCAGAAGTGGCTGCCCGGTGTTGAGGCACCCGTGGAACGGTTCTCGGGGCGCCGTTGCCAGCGGTAGCAACAGCAGTAGCAGCAGCAGTAGCAGCATGTGCGACGCTCGGGACAGTAGATGGAGGAGTCGCGGTATCCCCGGCGGTGGCGGCTGCAGGCTGAGGCAGGTTGAGGGAGGGTCGTCGTATAAGGAGCTGGTCTCGTTGGTAGAGGCGATGTAGAGATGATGGTGGCACACGCGAGCCTGGCGATCCTTGACCTGGAAGCAGAGAATGCGCGACTGGCTCCAAAGTGATCTGAGAATGATTCGTCGGAGGACTCATTACTTGCACTTCAACGGCAGGCTTCTTGGAGTGCGGAGGGACAAAGTCCTGCTCATCAGGGCTGCTGGCAGGAGCGATGTCGGCCATCACGCAACGGCTGCGCTTCTGTCCGGGCAGGGCTTGCTCCGCAAACGTCGTCAAATGATGTGGGGTGTCAAGGGATGGCCTTGCATGATGTCCCTCTTTCACAGCCTCGAACGATTGCGCTGCGACCGCCAGCTCCAACAGCTTATCCCGCATCGTCGGGGCAAAGGCGGGCGCCTGTGGTTTCCGGCAAAGGAAATCGGTAGCTTATCTATCGTTGGTGTATAGGAAGATGAGCTACAGATCAAGCACGCTAAGCATACAAGTAGCGCCCTTCGCGGGTGCACCGACATGGGTTTGGAAAAACGCATCCACAGTTGTAAAACACCAAATCATTCCAAGTTGTAATAAAATATAGTTGGTTCTCAAAGTTTGGCGACCAGGTACTTGAGTTTGGACATCGACACTCATCTACCCCGTCAAACCTGCTTATCGAATAGCTGTGGTCTTGCTCCAGGTCCACGTAATATGGGATGTGGGTAAGTAGGTTTACTCTCACACGATCTTACGAGTGTTCGCCGTAGACTGAATCGCGTTCAAGCGGATTGAACTGACGTGCTGCAAATGAAAGCAGGATGCCCCGATCGGCAGGACTGTAGCGATATAGTAATTTCACGAAACACTTCACAGCGACGTTGAGTTCATTGTTGCGCTCATTGTCCAGTTCAGGGCGTGCCAAAGGCACCCGCGAAAAAGCTAAGGTCTTGGCGTGTAAAATGCAGGTTACAAAAAACGTCTGCAGAGAAGGAAAGAAGTCTGGCCGCCCTCCATCACCCAGGTATGCCGGTTGCCTATATTAAGTATTGGCCCATGATAAAGTGTTGCGTACTGTCAGTACGGGGCGGCAGCGCCTCCGTAGTTCAACACCCAACACATATCATCAGTCATCAAAACGATCTTTGAACCATATGACGACCCACTCGTTCGGATGCTTTACGTTTCCATTCGCTTCCGGTTTCCAGGAATTCGTAAGCCTCGTAGGAGATTGGCGGGACACAGCCGCAAGTTCACAACTCGCTTGAGAAACAAATCTATGTAATATGGTTGATTATTTTGTTTTGAAATGAAATTTTCAAGACGAGCGTTGTGCGTGGTGAAGCATAAATGACAGTAACTGTTAAAGAACACGTACGAAAAAGAAAGGGAATTCGTTGGTTAATGAGGATACACGCATGTCGCTGTAAGTCACGAGTCTGATATGATTAGAGGATTATAACAACGGTTTGCAATGGGAGATAACCCAATTTTATGACGAAAGGCAAGCCGACCCAAAAGAAGTTGCCGCATAGAGGACTATGCTAAATTTTATGCAAAAATATTTTAAATATTGCATTATTTTCTCTCTAGTGACTGAGCAAAATATTGACGCCTTACGCCCGGCTCTCTAGCTTCGCGTTGTACCGTCACAGGATCGCAGGGCCCAAAGCAATTCGCTGACGTCGACACTCGCCAAGCTTTGATCTCCATGCGTACCTTAAATTATGTATGTGCTCCCAGGTTTGACCATATGCAGATCACATATAGGCCTCATAGCAGCCAGTTCACAGGAGGAGCTGAGATTGCGCGATAACAGATTTTAGCCTATCACCTGTGTGGTGTTTAATGGAGTCGGATAAATGTCCTACTAATACCGGCTGTGAATCACCCAACAGCATCTTCGTCACGGTGCCCGGTGTCCCGTCCGCTCACGGGACCCGGCAGACGACCACTATGCACCTTCGCACCACAACTTGAGCACAGTCAGTGGCTTCTTGCCGGGTTTGGACTGTTTACGTAAAAATTGTGAAAAATTTTACCGCGCATACGCAGCCGCGCCAACAGTTTTTTTTGCAACAACTGCGGTTGTATGCAGGGATCTGAATGAACGCAAACAGGAGCCACGAAGCATAAGTCGCACAGAACCGGTTTGCTGCCCTGAAAATCGCTTTGAGTACCAAACAATTATGAAGCGCACCTGAAACATGCATAACATGCCGACATGTGCATTCGAATTTCACATTGGTATGACAGGAAGGTTGCAATGGCCAGCTAGTGCCTTTGATGCAGATTTAACGTAGTTTTAAAGCTGCCGTCATTACATCACAGGCAAGCACTTCCCCCGGCAAAATGCATTACGCATGAATGTTCGTCCGCAGTTGCTTCGCGCGCGCTTGGCAGTGAAACAGCGCGCATGCGATAGGTTTAAGCCTGCTTAAGAGTTCACTCTATTGTTATGTGAGCTTTGTGTAACGTGTATGCGTCTCAACAAGTACAGGCTATCAAAATCCAACTGGCGCTCAAGCAAGCAGCATGCATGCCTTACGAAATTCAGGGACAGGAATAAACTTTTAGTGTCACTTCAAAATTTAGTCTCGAGTAAGCGGTTTTATATGAAAGTCTTCGTTTTTGTGCGATTTAGGATCGATTTCCTGTACGGGATGTGTCACGTCCTGAGTGTGTCATCTTACCGTTTGTTGATTTCCCAATGGAATTGCCGATTACAAGCATGTTGCAAAATGTCTGATTCGCCTGTATCAAGTGCATTTGAGGTGCGTTTGTTTTAAAGGAATGCGAAACAATTACGTCGCACGCCAGACCTGAACCCAAATGTCTGATACAAGGACTTGCCTTTCTGCTTTTTCCATCCAAAATCTATTGTATTACAGAAGTTCAAGTTTGTCGGAGGTCCAGCGAGCAGGTTGAGGAGTACAACGCGGTCCGCAGCTCGTGACGTGGCGCGCGGAGCTCTTTCTTCAACACGCGACCAAAGTTCCCTGCCTCCATACCCTTCGTACACATCTTCTGGGGCACGCAGCAGCAAGCGGAGCCGCATCCCAGCAGTTGGCCTCTCTGCCACCCCGGACTCAGACTCCGGCTCCGACTCCCGTGTTCCGTCCACACACCCCGCGGCCAAGCGCGTCCGTCGGTCCCACTTAAATACCACCGTGTCATCTCCCCCGCCGGGGCCCCCAGACCCTGCCGGCACTGCAGCTGCCATCAGCCCGTCGGCCCTCGACGCCTTTGACGATGTCCCGCGGGTCGCTAGCAGCCATGCAGAAACCTGCGGCGACGGCGGCAACGGCGGCGCCAGCGCGGTGTGCGGCCCATATTTGGAGGCGCCTGCCGCCGCCGCCTTGACCTTTAACAGCACGCCGCCGCCGCAGGCGTTGCCGCCGCCATCCAGCCCTGACGCGTCGCTTGCCTTGTTCACCAGGACCTCCAACCCGTCCCCTCCTGCTGCTGCTGCTGCTGCTGCTGCTGCCCCTGGCAACCCCGGCGGGGGCCCAGCCACGGGTGGCGACGTCCCCCAACACCCCTCCTCCGCCACCTCACTCATCACCACTACTACAGCCAAGACACGATCCACCCGACCCCTACCTTTAACGCCCCCGAGTTCCTCAACCCCCAGACACACGCGCGAATCTTCCTCCACCACCGCCGCCGCCGCCGCCGTCGCCGCCGCTCCCGGTACGTCCCGCCCGCGCCGCCCGCGCTCCTCCTCCTCGCCTCCCGCAGCGGCGGCGGCGGCCTCGAAACCCCCTCCCCCTTCCCCGCTTACTCCTCGCGGTGTGCCTGAGAAGCTCGGTGACCAGCCTCTGCGGCTCATCATCGTGGGTCATAACCCCAGCGCACACGCCTGGCAGTCGGGGCATTACTACTCCAACCCCTCCAACCACATGTGGCGACTGCTGGTGGCAACCGGGATAGCCCCGTCCTGGGTTCGCGGCGCCCAGGACGATGACCGGCTGCCTGGGGCGGTCGGGGTTGGGTTTCTGGATGTGGGTTGTGGGCATCCGGGGACTGATAGGTGAGGGGGGGAAAGGGGGGGAAGAAGAGGGGGCGTGTATTTGTGCTTCATGTACATGTCTTTGTGTGTTTTGTGTTTTCGTTATGTGTTGGGGGGAAGTGGATGGGGTGAGGGGGAAATGCGTGTGTGTGGGGGGGGAAGATGGTCTTGGGGGCGGGGAACATGTTGCCTGATAAAGATGTTTTACGTCCCTTAGACGTGTACGGCAGCGAGCGGGCAGTAATGATGTATGTTGAAAGGTGGTACAGTTGTGAAGGCCTCCTTCACAGCGTCATTGTGTGGGCCCCGTGAGCTGGCGAGGGTGATACTATGAGAGATGGCTCCGAAACCCACCGTTGCACCGATTTGTCCCCCTCCTCCCACCCCCTCACCCACCCACCCGTACACAAAAACACACACACGTACATACATACAAACCCACGCGGCAGTTCTTCCTTCAAGAGTGAGGTGTTTCTGTCTTGGAGCCGGGCCTTCTACACCAGGTTGAGGGACCACATGGCGCGTGCGGCAGCAAGCATCGGTACGGGACTTGGGGTTGAGGGGGAAGAGGAGGAGGGGGTTAGAGACTAGCCGTGAGGTTCGGCCTCTCGGCTGTATGTGTTTTGGAGTCTGTAGTGCATAGTTGTGAGCGCTACCAGTCCCAACCGTAAGCGGAAACGAAACACGGCGGGGGAGAGTCGCGGTCGCCTGCACATCCCAGTCCGGTCACTTTCGTGTCTTTCGCCTTCTCCCACCATCACCGGAGCAATGCCGCCACAGGGGCTCAGGGTGTTCTGCGGGATATGCCTTTGTCGGGCATGTGTGCTGTTTGCATTTACGATTCCCGACTCCCTTACCCGCCTCCCTCCCCCCCCCCCCTCGCAGGCTGCACCTGCGGGTGCTGCGGAGCCCCCTGCTTCGTGGCCTTCAGCGGCAAGAGGCAGTTCCTGGAGCTCCTCAATGTGGATAGGGCCCCCCGGGACCGGGTCAAGACTGTGGAGGTACGGCACGGTAGGGGGGCTGGTTGGCGGCGCCCCCGGGTGAAGCCCACAGCATTACTCGAACCCG